AGAAATCCCCCCTCCTCATCATTGTTCCTCCCATCCACATTAAAAGCATGGGAACATTACCTTGCTTTTACAACAGAAGAACAAAGTCAGGATTAGGAGCAGGCTCCTGCACGAAGATGCATATTCATTGTTGCCACATGTTAACTCTGCATTGACCATGACATTTCTTGCCTTCAGGGCGGACCAATCCGTGAGACACTTTTGGAAAAAACAGAGAAAGATACCATCAACATCTTCCCATGCACATAGAAAATATATATTTTTAAAAAGCGGTTTAATTTCTAAATACCATGGTTTGTATCCACGTAACTCATTCACATTGTAACAATGACTTCAACCTGAGGAATGGAACATCTCACCGTTGTCTTTTTCCTATATCACCTTTGTGCCATCCACACAAACTGCTTTACAAACAGAAGTTCTTGCACAAGTGGGATGGGTTTGTTGGATACAACCCCATAAGTCCATTTCTTTGAAGTTAGAAAAGGCTGCCGATTTATGAAAATAAAACGGACAGCTCTGCCTATTTCTTTGATGAACAGGAATCTATGAGTTTGCTCCATCCCAGCAAATCCAAGGACCATTACTCAGCCTCTCATTCAATCACTCAATCGGCTTCCACTTTAATTCTGCTGATTAATTCAGGAAAGCAAAATATACTGCAATTCTTGAGAAGACAATGTAAATAATTCCCACCCACCCACGTGCATGTGTGACTCTACCCAGAAAACCCTGAATATATTATAGTTGTTCTAGCAACAAAGAAATTTTTGGGATATTACCTGGATTGTTACAGCAAAAAGACGAAGCCAGGAATAGAGCAGGAACATGTTGAAGACTTCCTTTTCACCCTTGGAACATCTTGCCTTGCATCTACCCACACATTTCTGAGCTGTAGCATTTGTCAATTGTTTAGACTCTTTGTCTTGACAGAGAACAAGAGATCATCAACATATCAGAGCATATAATAATAATAATAATAATGTAGGGAGAATTCAGTCTATCAACAGTTCAAAGAAAGATTTGTGAGGTTTCCATTTCCAAAAATTGCCAAAGAGTTCCTTTCCCTCTGGTTCGTTGAGACATCAAAGCCCTGAGTTGTGATATCCCTGCAAATTCAAGAGCTTTTTCAAAAATACTTGTTCCATTTCCCATTGCCCTACACAGGGCCAGTATCTACCCACCCACTGAGATCATGACCCAGAAATCCCACACATGCATCATTGTTGCTCCAGCACAATAAAAATATGAGAATATTACCTCGCTTTTTGCAGCAGAAGACAAAGTCTGGATTAGAACAGGCTCTTGCTGAAGATGCATATTCACTGTTGCCACATGTTAACTTGCATTGACATTTCTTGCCTACACTGTGAACCAATCCTTGGGACACTTCAGCAAAGGAGAAAAGGAACCATTAACATCTTCCCTTATACTTAGAAAAAATGGTCCAATAGCTAAATTGGCCCCTCGACTGGAGGCCCCTCGACTGTCCTTGGGTCCAGTATTGGACCACTTCAACCAGATATCCCCAGCCGATGTGGACAGACTCCTCCGAGCTGGAAAGCCCACCACCTGTCCTCTCAACCCGTGCCCATCTTGGCTGATTAGAGCGTGTCCAGACGAGGTGCGGTCCCTCCTGGGGGATATCATCAATTTGTCCCTTGGCACGGGGACATTCCCAGGAACTGAAGGAGGCAGTGGTGCGCCCGCTCTTAAAGAAAACATCATTAGATCCTTTAGATCTATCCAATTACCGCCCGGTTTAGAATCTTCCGTTCCTGGGTAAGGTGATTGAGAGAGTGGTTGCTGAACAGCTTGGTGGGTTTCTGGATGAAACATCGGCTCTGGATCCATTCCAGTCCGGCTTCCGCACTGGTCATGGGACCGAGACGGCTCTGGTTGCCCTAACAGATGATCTTCGTAGACAGCTGGATCAAGGTGAGTCGGGGCTGCTGATTCTTCTAGATCTGTCAGCAGCTTTCGACATGGTCGATCACGAACTTCTGCACCACTGCCTTGCCGACGTGGGGATGCAGGGCACAGTCCTTCAATGGCTGCGCTCGTTTCTCTCTGGTCGGGGACAGAGGGTGGTGCTTGGGGAGGGATTGTCATCGCGCCACTCCTTGGTGTGTGGAGTACCTCAGGGTGCGATACTCTCCCCGATGCTTTTCAACATCTTTATGCGCCCCCCTCGCCCAGCTTGTCCGGAGTTTTGGGCTGGGTTGCCATCAGTATGCTGATGACACCCAACTCTATCTGTTGATGGATGGCCATCCTGACTCGGCCCCAGACACACTGACCAGATGTTTGGAAGCTGTGGCTGGATGGTTACGTGGGAGCCGGTTGAAGCTAAATCCTTCGAAGACAGAGTTCCTGTGGCTGGGACGGGACGATATGGGATTGGGGGGGCAACTCCCAGCTCGTGCGGGGTCGCAAGTCGTCCCCGCACCAGCCGTGAAGAGTTTGGGTGTAATCTTTGACACCTCCCTTTCCATGGAGGCGCAGATTGGAGCGACAACAAAGGCGGCATTTGTCCATCTCCGCCACGCTACGCAGGTGGCTCCTTCCCGCTCGCCCCCTGACCTAGCCACTGTGATCCACGCGACGGTCACCTCCAGACTGGATTATTGTAACTCGCTCTACGTGGGGCTGCCCTTGAGACTGACCCAGAAACTCCAGCAGGTGCAGAATGCTGCAGCGAGACTCCTTACGGGGTCTTCGCTGCGAGATCACATTCACCCGGTGCTATACCAGCTGCACTGGCTCCCGGTGGAGTACAGGATCAGGTTTAAGGTGCTGGTTTTAACCTTTAAAGCCCTATACGGCCTACGACCCTCGTACCTACGGGACCGCCTCTCCTGGTATGCCCCACAGAGAAACTTACGGTCTTCAAATAAAAACATCTTGAAGGTCCCAGGCCACAGAGAAGTTAGGCTGGCCTCAGCTAGAGCCAGGGCTTTTTCAGCTGTGGCTCCGATCTGGTGGAACACTCTGTCACAAGAGACCAGGGCCCTGCGGGACTCCGACATCTTTCCGCAGGGCCTGCAAGACAGAGCTGTTCCACCAGGCCTTTGGCCAGGGCACAGCCTGACTCCCTCCCTCGGCAATCTTTGCGGAGCTCTGGCCCAATGGTTGCCAGTGGCTTGAATTAATTAATTTTATAATGAATGATTTTAGAGTGTTGTTTGTACTGTACTTTTGTACTGTTTTATTGTTGTTAGCCGCCCTGAGCCCGGCTTCAGCTGGGGAGGGCGGGATATAAATAAAATTTATTATTATTATTATTATTATTATTATTATTATTATTATTATTAAATGCCATAGTTTTTATCCAGTGACATTGTCCCATTTTTTAACTCTCATCTGAATTCACATTATGTCCCTTTCTCAATAATCCCCTTGTACATCACTGTTGCTCTATTGCATTAAAAGCATTTTACCTGGCCATTTGCAGCAGAATAGGTTGCCAGGAATAGGGCACACTACTGCTGGAGACACAAATTCGCCATACGAACATCTTGACTTGCATCTACCCCGAAGATTCAGAGATGCAGCAGAAATCAATCCTTGTGACATTACTGAAACAGATAATAGATCATCAGCATCTCTAAGCATTTGGAAATATCAGAAGTATTTTAAATATTGAAAAGAAGTATGTCTCTGAACACCATTAATATAGCTCCATGAAGGGAAGCTCTGCTTCTGCACATGACTCTGGCATGATGGGAAGTCTTGCTTCTAAGCTTTTCTCTGCTTCTGCACATGCTGCACAACCCGTCCTAATACCAAGACATTCCCTCATCACCCTAGAATGTTCTGATCAGTTCCCATTGAGTTCATGAAACATTATACCCTGACCTGTTCTTAATGCATTGCTGACCACATCTACGGAACATGATTGTTGTATTCTTTCATGTTATGATCAATCAGTAATTGTTTTAGTCTTGCTATATCAATCATTAGTTATAATTTAATTAGGAGGTTTCATGCCTGTCTAGTTCTGTGCTCCCTTTCCCAGCCTTTAATCTATTGGTGATTAATGCCTATATGTAACCTTTGCTTTGTACTTGTGTTAACCAATCAGCAACAAGTTGCTTTGTGTTTGTGTCAACCAATCAGCAACGAGCGCACCTGCGGCAATGTTGTAATATTCAATAAAAGAGTCTTCTCGGGACTTGCTCGAGAGATGCCTCTCACATGACACCTGTTACTCATCTGTCATTATTTCAACCCAACATCTCCAGAGAGAAGAACCAGAGGACTGTTTGCCTTGATGATCCATGTGTATCTCCATCCATTGGAACTCAAGGGCTTCTAAAAGCTACTCATTCAATCTCTCATTGGGCTTCTCAGTAATTCCTGTCCATCTCACAGTTCATTAGGAAATGACGGCTTTGAAATTCACTTTCAAGCAAAGTAAATAACTCCTCTCT